GCCCTCCCCAGAGCACTGCGGTTCCAGAAACATCAGAATCATCTTTATGTCTCTATTAAAAAGCAGCCTCAGGCCTGGAATATTTTATGTTTCCCCCCCATTTCTTTTCTCAAACGGCCTGTACGTAAAAATCGTCCTGGCCAAATCATTAAACAGTTACAACTGTATTTGGCTAAAGCCCATCATCATTTCAGGGAGTGGGGTGGGAAGGCTTTTTGACGGACGGTTGTATTTAATTAGCTCTTTATGTCTCTATTAAAAAGCAGCCTCAGGCCTGGAATATTTTATGTTTCCCCCCCATTTCTTTTCTCAAACGGCCTGTACGTAAAAATCGTCCTGGCCAAATCATTAAACAGTTACAACTGTATTTGGCTAAAGCCCATCATCATTTCAGGGAGTGGGGTGGGAAGGCTTTTTGACGGACGGTTGTATTTAATTAGCTTTCCTACTTCAGCCCTCTGCCTCTAGACAGCTCTCCTTCCCCGAAATACACCAGAACAAATCAAACCCACGCTGACTACCCAAGCCAGCACCAGCAAACTGCAAATCCATTGAGCTTTATGAGTCAGAGAGGTAAGACACGGTTCTTTAATCACATACTGTCTCTGTAGAGCAAAACCTCAGAGAAAGACAGAGTGACGAGGTAATTCGCCTTTGGAGATGTAGGTCCAGAGCTAGTTTGAGTTACAAGCGTAAGAAGTTTGAGTCTCAGCTTAATTCCTTAAATCGGCTTTTGTGCACAACCCCTGTTATTTGGGAGAGGCTGGTACCAGCATAAGAATGGCCAGACTGGGTCAGACCAAAAGTCCATCTAGCCCAGTGTCCTGTCTGCTGACCGCGGCCAATGCCAGATGTCCCAGAGGGAGTGAACAGAATAGGGAATCATCCAGTGATCCCTCCCCTCAGCCATTCCAAGCCTCTGACAAACAGAGGCTAGGGACACCATTCCTGCCTATCCTAGCTCATACGTATTGATGGGCCTAACCTCCATTAATTTATCTAATTCTTTTTTGAACCCTGTTAAAATCCTGGTTTCACAACATCCTCTGGCAAGGAGTTCCACAGGTTGACTGTGCACTGCATGAAGAAAAACTTCCTTCCGTTTGTTCTAAACCTGCTACCTATTAAGGACACTTGCATCCTGTGTCCTAAACTCATTCCTGGGTTTGTTGGAAAATCCAAACCCAGATTTGAATTTTGTCCCTTGGCTTTATAATAGGCCAAGGCAAATGGCCGTTTTTACACAGGCCTGGATTTCAGAGTAAGTCCAGGTCTGAACTTGTCATAATGCTTCTTTCAGTCAAAGGCAAGAAGTAGAAGTTTGTTGCTACCTATCAACGGATGCACTGAGGGGGCCTGAGGCGTTTCCTCCTTGCTGATGCATTTCAGCCTTGATTGGTGCAAGAACATCACCCCTCCGTCCTCCAAAGAGATAGCCACTGGTCAGTGGTGCGCACAGATACTCACAAGAGGCTAGGGGAAGACCAACCAATTCACTGTAACTAGGATTTGAACCTCTAGTTCCAGGGGTGAACGGGGCTTGTTCACTAAATCCAGCATTGCCAATGCTCCAGGATTGTCCAGGAGTCTCTAGCACTTAAAGACTAAACTTTAATTAAAGATGATGTCATGTGAGGAAACGGCCAGGAAAACCCTAATATGGGCAACCCGAGGTAGGCCACCCTCCCCAGCCGAAAAGCCGCAATGTTTACAGCAAGTTTTCATCACGGCGTTGAGGAAGCCAGGGAACACGGTGCAAGAACAGGTCAGAAGCATTCTTGGCAGGCGCATCCAGCAACGCCACATAAGTGAGTCCCAGTTTAGCTCCCTAAAGACCAGAACAGACACCAGAGAGGAACAGAGCTAGGGTGGCGGAGTCCCTGGCTGAGATAAGGTGCATTAAATCTACAGGTTGGACCTCCCTGGTCTGGAACCGTTGGGACCTGAGTGGTCCCAAATGAGAGATTTTGCTGGACCAGGGAAGGTCCTTTCTGGCTCCCTTGTTATTGGCTCCCCAGCCCGGCCTGGCCTCCCAGCTGGCTCTCCACCTGCTACCAGCCCCACTGCCCTGCCATGGCAGCCTGTGGTTCCGCCACTGGGGCTCCTAGAAGCACCCACATTGGCCCCACTAGCCTGTGGTCCCACCACCAGGACTCCTGGTCCTGCCACGACAGACCACTGCTCAGCCACTGGGGCTCTCGGCCCTTCCCACCCTGCTGTGGCTGGCCGCGGCGGTGGCTGCCCGTCGCCCTGCCACAGGGGCTCCTGGCTCCACAAAAACACACCACTGCCTTACCTGGGCCCATTGGTGTTCCAGCCACCCTGCCACTGGCTTAGCCGGACTCCTGCTGTAGGGCTTCTGGTCACTGACCCCGCTGCAGTCTGGATGGCCGGGTTCCCAGCCCCTGCCTCTGGTCTTCCACCAGGATTCTCTGGTCCAGTAACATCCGTGGCCTGCATGTTGCCAGACCAGTGAGTCCTGGTTGAGGGAGGTTCAACTTGTACAACAGGGGAGTTGCTTTGGGCTGGCTGTACGGGGAACTGCTCTTCTGAGTAACACCGGTCCACTGAGGGGAGGCACCAAACCATGAAACAGATCTGCTGTCACCTTGCCTCTTGTTTCTTCTGCTCCGGAGAGGCAGCCTGGCGCGATTTCGTCCCTCCCCAGCACGAAGGCAAGGGCAAGCCTCACTCCGGAGCCTGGAGCGGGAGCGAACGAAGTCCACGTCTGCACGGTAGTGAAGTGATGTGTGACGGTGCATTGGGGTTTTCCCGTCTCCTGCACCCCCGTAATGGCACGAACAGACTCCACCAGCCAGTAGAATGGAGGGAGGTTATTGGTAATCTGGTTACAGGGCAGGACTAGGATGCCTCAGCCCCCTTTGAGATGGGGGAGACTGGGCCCCTAAATTCCAGCCCCTTTCCCTAGGCTGTCTCCTCCATGCTCCCAGACAGAAAGTAACCCACTCACTTCCAGCCCTGCCCCCATCCAGGGCTCCACTCCCCTTCTTCCCATTGTTCCGCTCCCTCAGAGATAACTGG